CCTTGCCGGTGTCTCTCCCTTGACTGCTGGATGTTTGGTTGCGGTCTTGCGGAAGTGGGACATGGGAACATTCGCTTCTGTGCTGGAGCTTCAAATCGATGGGTGTTAACCAGTTGGTAGTACTGACTATTGTGATGCGAGCAATTTGGGTAGAAGTTGGCTCGAGTGGCTTCACAGTGGAGGGGGTGCATGATTGTCTTCGTACTCAGCGGCGATGAAAACATGAGCGAGAATGGGGTCGGAAGAAGAGCTGTAGCATCAGCGAGATGAGGAAAGGCTGTTGTTATTGGTTAAAACGTACTCCCTCCGTTCCAAAATAATAGAAGTTCTAGGACCTAAGTCAAGCTTTTAGAAATTTGATCAAGTCTATAAACAATCTACAAAGATCTACAATATCAAATATATATATAATTTTAAAATATATTTCGTATAATAGATCTAATGAAGCAAATTTGGTGTTGTAGATGTTGATATATTTTTATGTAGACTTGGTTAAAATTACTGAAGTTTGAGTTAGGTCAAATTACAGCGGAAGCCGCCCTCTGGGCTGGGGCTGGGGCCTCAGGCCTTCGGCTGGTACTCCCAGCCACCTGGGACGTCCATTAAAACCTTTGCAATGCTCTCTGTAAACCGTCGCCTAGGAGGCATGTTACTTTTTCCCTACCTTTTCAATGAAAAGAAACACAAAGTCTTTGTGTTTTGTTGAAAAAAGAACTTCAATTATTTCGGAACGGAGAGAGTAGCAGTTTGATGGTCTCGCACCATGCGATCTAGTCATGGACGTCTGCGGCAAAATCTTAGAGGTGCGTTTGACTGGTAGATTAAGCACAGCCGAAGGAAGAGGAAGGCTATTTGGTGGCAGATGGGACCTATTGTTTTTGTAGCAAGAGCAGGGGTATTTGCCTGCTCCCAAGTGTACATGGCAAGTTTGTACTGGACAGGCCTGGGTTAAATGTCCTTACAAACCACCTAAGGGGGTTAAGGGGACAGAAATCAATACTTCAGGAGGGATAATAGATGGTTTCATTCCTGGGAGTTGTGTATGCCCTCTCCTTAAATTATCACTGGGCCATGTTTTAGTTTCTTGAGATGTTTCACATGTAAACGGAGCTAACAGAAGATTTAGCAAAGCCAAAATTATATCCTAAGCTGTGTTGAACGTCTGAGCTGTCACAAAAAAACAGGTATGAATAGGTATTTGATGCGGAGTAAATAGCAAAAGCAATCTCTGCTGCCCGGTGTATCCTAAGGAAAAGGTTGCATCAATGAAACTCTCAAGTATACTTATGAGGGTATGTAGGCAATACCTTTCTAAAGGCAAGAAATTACAAGCAACCCTACTACTCCCTCTGTCCCATAATATAAGAGCGTTTTGTGTTAAAAAAACGCTCTTATATTATGGGACGGAGGGAGTACTAAATAAAGATAACATGCTATGAGGCATGTATATGAACCCTGTATCTAAAGAATACGTCTGAAGGGTTTAAAAGAATAATCAGAAAGTATTGGACACTTTAACACGATGATGTGCATAACAATGAGAGCTTCCCCTGAAATTTTCAAAATACAATCGAAGTTGTGGGCAAGAGTTTGATAATATGGTGTCCCTAGATAATTTTCGTGTTTTATGAAATTTCTCGACTGATGGTCTCATAATTTGACTACATAATGGTTGGTACACTGAAATTTCTGATGGCTTTCTACTTCTGCTTTTCCTTCTTGGCAGAGTTCAGGTTCTTGAAAAGGCTCATTCTTGTCCATGGACGATACTCATACAACCGTACTGCCTTTCTTTCGCAGTATTCGTTCTACAAGTCATTGTTAATTTGCTTTATTCAGATACTGTAAGTCACGATGAAACATCATTTTGGTCGCCTTCTTATTTTACCTTCAGCTCTTATATAATATCTTTCTCATATTCCATTTCTCGTTAAAAGCATACTGATAATAGTTGCTCTTGTCAGCATTCTCATATTATATGCGTGCAGTTTTTCTTTTGTTTCAGGTATTGCCGGAACAAGTTTATTCAATTCAGTTAGTTTAATGGCCTATAATGTCTTCTACACAAGCATTCCTGTTTTAACTACTGTTCTGGACAAGGATTTATCTGAAAAGACAGTGACACAAAACCCAGAAATTTTACTATACTGCCAGGCTGGAAGGTAAATTTATACCTCCTTTCATTTGTTGTTGACGGCTTCCACAAGTTCTATATGTCCTGTTAGTATATGCAATAAATTATCTGTAAATTTTTAGATGTTCAAAAAAAAAAGTTTGTGTTGCTTCACTAATATGTACATATTTTTTAGGCTTTTGAATCCAAGTACTTTTGCTGGTTGGTTTGGTCGATCGTTATATCATGTGAGTACATCTTTGTCCCCCCATGCTATGCTTCTAGTCTGCAAATGCCAGTTGCAAAAAACATGAAAAAAAATTCATGCATTGCACTAGAATTTGTAATGCCCATGCACAGGTGTTGACGTGCCTGATGAGAGCATCTTTTCTTGGTTGATTTCAGGCAATTGTTGTTTTCTTAATCACCATTCATGCTTATGCCAATGAAAAAAGTGAGATGGAGGAGTTGTCAATGGTTGCTCTCTCAGGAAGTATTTGGTTGCAGGCTTTTGTCGTGACACTGGAGATGAGGTGAGAAATCAAAACTTGAATCATAATGCTTATAACAACGTCTACATTGTACACTGTACTTGTTCTGATCTGTCTTTCCATTTTTCAGTTCTTTCACTTTTCTGCAGTTTCTGGCAATATGGGGAAACTTCGCTGCTTTCTACGTCATAAATCTCTGTATCAGCACCATACCAACTGCTGGGATGTACACCATCATGTTCCGCCTTTGTAGACAGCCGTCATACTGGATAACAATGCTGGTAAGCATTACTGTAATGTTCTTTTGCTTGGTTTATTATTGCACACACGATCCTCACGACGATGCGATATCAATGTTTCAGCTAATCAGTGGAGTTGGCATGGGTCCTGTATTAGCTCTGAAATATTTCAGATACACATACAGTCCGAGTGCGATTAACATTCTTCAGAAGGCTGAGCGATCTCGTGGGCCAATGTACACCCTGGTAAATCTGGAATCTCAACTCAGATCAGAGAAAGACAATTCGACCAACGCCAGTTTGACAGCGCCAGTCAAGAATAAGAATTCAGTTTACGAGCCCCTACTGTCTGATTCTCCTATGGCATCCAGGAGATCACTAGCATCGTCATCATTTGACATCTTTCAGCCAGCTCAATCAAGGGTACCTGCTGCTTATCCCAGAAATATCAAAACCAGTTAACCTTTGGTTGTCATTGTAGCACAGGTTACATATACCCTCGACAAAGAAAAATGGAATGACAAATAATAGAGGTCAGTTGAATTAGATGTGTTGTATAGCCAGTAGAAAAAAAAGGTTGTGTTGTATACTTGTATAGCACCGTTAAGGACTTACTATATATTGCCCAGAATATAAATGTGAAACTGATTAAATCTACCTACGTTTTACTCAAAATGATAAAAAAGATTTCTTGCAAAGACGAGGCTAATGATACTAATATGGCTTCATATATAATAATTAATTTTCTCCTGGATAAACTGGGTTAAAGATTCAGAAGTTTGACTTTCCAAAAAACTAATGCACCTTATATTTTTTTACTTTGAAATGGAGGGAGTAATAATTTGTTGGGAAGAGAAAATTATCTAAGTTGCATGATTCATTACCTTTCAAAAAGTTGTTTGAGTGGATGCAAACAATATAGGAGGGTCACACTTGTGCATGTAAAAAAAAGCCTGAAGATAAAATGACTGATTATGATATGTGCACTTTCTTGAACTAAAACCATGACATTTATTCTGGGACGCAGGGAGTAGATGCCCCCAAGAATGTTGTTCAAAAAAAATTAAAAACGAGACCATTCAAGACTACTTTTATAGAAGAAAATCTCTAAGCACCCTGTTCTCAATGTTGTTTGAAATCACTTCACATCAATTGGTTGTATCCATTCGTGGACTATGTAAATAAATTCTTGAGATTGCAAATTTGAGATGTCTTGGAATAGATTTGTGGGCTGGCTCAAACTAATAATGAAACAGTAAAGGACCCGCATCGTGTCCGATGGATTAACTTGCTACGATGACGCTCATGGTTTGTTAGCAGTTTGTGTGTATGGTGTGCCACCTGTGACGGCAGCGGGCTGGCCGGAGAAGCTGCACGGCCGTCCTAAGCCATGACAGGTTCACGGTTAGGCGAAGCTGGCGTCGAGATCGTCGGTCGTTCCCCTGTCATTATTCCTCACGGGCACGGCACGGGCACCGCCACCGCACCACCGGCCATATGGCTGTGCGGCGTTAACTCTGCCTTGGTACCACTTGGAGATTTGGTCATTTTTGTGCACTGGTTTAATCACTTTAATGTAATTATCTTAATTCAAGTACTCCCATGGACATAGAGCGGACCACTGGAAGGAAAAGGGCAAAACAAAAAAAGCTTGAGCATCGTAGGTAGGCTGCTGGTGGATCGATCCATGCAGGGATTAAAAGCCTTGTCTGGTCATGGCCGGCTTTCAATCGCAGAGTACACGGCGGCAATGAATACGAACACGACTAATGATGCAGACCAACTGTTATGGGATCACCGATTTTTTGGAGGCCATCATCCGCATTCAGTCATGGCGTTAATGGTGCCAGCAAGCCCAGCATGGGTCGTCTCTCCTCCTTAAATTCTTTTGGGAGTACTATGAACCGGGGCACAACATCTTTTCGTAGGATCAAAGAAAATATGTAATCAAGGGCAATGATTTGGTCGAAATGATTACCCTAAAAAAATGGTCGGAAGGAGGGTTCTGCTGAGGGCATAACTCAACAAGTCCTAAAGGAAGAGCAAACACATACAGACGGTGACACGGGCTTCAACAAGGCTAATCCGGCTTGGGGGTGGTGGAGGGAGCAGTGGCGCCAAGCGGAGGGCCATCAAGCGAAGGTCGGCGATGATAGTGTTGATGGTGCCTTGGTCCTAAGAGAGGCTAAGCGGCCGCCAAAGATGCAGGTAGCCACACATTTTAAACACAGCGCGAGTGGCACGTCAAAAAGGAATACGCTGAATCGCAAGCTTATTGCGGACTGTCCAGAGAGCCCATGCGAGCACCCTAATGGTCAACCACCAAAGGTGGCGGGTCGAATTGGGGGAGGTATGAATCTCTGCAAAGAGGTTGGGGAAGTTTGTGTGCGTGTGTGTGTGCGCGCGCGGTGAACATTTGTCGGATATTGTGCCCTGATGGTTTGCTTTATATAAATAAAGCGGGGCGAAAGCCTTCTTCGGTAAAGAAAACGGTCGGAATGATATACCATCATGTTTATAATTAAGTAAAGACCCCAATAGCCAGCGAACTTTTGCTGTGAGGGAGATGCAATTGCGAATGGTTTAGATGCCAAGTTTAATTGCACGAGAGTGGCAATTCTTTTGGAAACGCATGATAATTTCTGAAAAGAAAGAAAATTGCGGGGAAAAAGACAGGATTTGCCATTACCTACGTACTTGCCAAAAAAGCGTTCGCTTGCCATCTCGTTCGTTCGTTAGTTATCATTTTCGTTTAATTAAAGACGGAACATGCGTCGTCTATCTGTCAGCTGCGACAGCCTCACGCTTGAATGCCCTTTCGTTCGTGGCATGTTTGGTTAGGCGTGGCAATGGCACATGACGTACTGCCGGCGTTATCGGTCATCATGTGCCGTGTACAATACAATGATGCCCTTCCATGCTTACAGTTACCGTCCTTGCGGAACGTCGCTGTCCCTATGCCATCCTCTGGCAAACTTGATCAGTGTCTGCAAATGATTAGGGTGGATTCACGGCTTCACAGACTACTTTTTTTTTTGCGAGTGGCTTCACAGACTACTAACCACAAAAATACTCCAAGGACGACATACATGCATGCATGTTTGAAGCTTGGAATTATACCCAAAAAGTCGATCGGTATAGGACTGACAGTAGATATCTCTGTGTCAGCTTAGGGCACGGTCACCGCGGCACCCACCACCCTACTTACTAACCAACGGAATCAACAGATTTGTCAACGGAATCAAAAACCGTTGCCAACTCGCACGCACGATTACTTAGCAAGGAAGTCTCAAACCACAAACAATATATCAACCCTAGTGCATGCACGAGAGGAGAGGAAACGGTTTTTGCAAAAGCCAAGTGTGAGCCAGGCATTAATGTCATGACAGTCGCCTGGCTGACATGCCCTGCTGCCTATCCATCACCTAATTAAGTCTCCAAACCAACCTCTGCCTGGCAACCTACGCCCCGTCCTTGTCCTCCTACCGCCCCAACCCATACCTTTTCCTCTCCAAACAGACACCCAAACGGCCATAGTTGTTGGCAGTGGCAGGGGAACAAGTTGAACAACAACGCGTGCAGCCGACCAAGTTTTCGATCAGTTCCGTTGGGCTCGATCTTTTCTGGGTGGATTCTAGTCTAGGATCAAAACTCCATCGTGTGTGGTCACGCTGTTGCACGTCAACGTGCAAGCAACGTGAGCCGTCAATGGATGTCTGTGCGTAACCACACAATGGTGAAAGGTTTCCTCTCGGATGCGATGGACGGACTAGCCTGCTATATATTCATGCTGCTCTCGAGGAGAATAAGATGAAAGCTATCACGGTGAAAGTGAACGTTAGGAAGCATTCGCCTCAAAAAAATTCTACTGTAGTAAGAACAGGAACATACTGCAGTAGTAATACGATCCGCTTGGCGCCACGGATCTGGGAGACCGACTCGGACCACACGACGCTCTGCGGCGGGGTTAAACCGAAGCAGTGGTCTGTGCCTGCCTGTTTTTGTCTACCCCGTGCGTACGTATGCTTGCTGCGTCGCACACAGCAGAGAGCAGACTTAGTCAAGAAGCATACGCTTGGCAGGGACGACATTATGGCCACCCCTAACCGCCACCTTCCCCACCACCGTGAGCGCCATCAATGCCGTCCTCGCCCGGCCTTAAATCCCTCCTCCTACCTCCGTCCATCCATCACAGATCACACCGCCCGCACATTGCCTGCTTACTGGCTCCCCGCCATTGCTGACCAGTGACCGCAACCACCACCTTCCTGCCACTATATATATACCCCGCGCGCGCGCTGACGCAGTGACAAATCGCACGGGCGGCGCGCGGCTTAGCTGTATTGCACTGTCCACCACCACCAGCATCAAATATCTCCGGCGAGAGCTTCAGCGATATTTGTTTCTGGAGAGCTTGCCGGGAAGGAGGAGGAGGAGGAGGAGCGGCGGCGGCATGGTGTTCTTCTGCTTCCTGGTGGACCAGCGGCGGAAGGTGCGGAGCAGCAAGCCGGCGGCGGGGATCTGCTCGCGGTGCGGCGGCTGCGCCAGCGTGGCGGACATGGAGACGGCCACGCGGCTCTGCTACCTCCTCACCGTGCACCGCGTCACCTGGCGCGCCATCATCTGCACCTTCTGCGGCGCCATGCTCAAGTCCTACCGCCACTACAGGCTCTACTAGACCGGCGATTGATCTGCGCGCGCGACGGACGTCTCCACCCGCGTCCCGTTTCCTGACGGCCGGTGGACTGGAGCCTGCATGTATGTGCTAGCTAGTTTTGTTTGCTCGATCTGCTTATTAATTTGTGTTTCAGGCATGCTCTCTAGCTTGAGCTTGGAGATTGTTGCACTGGATTCTTGTGGTCTTATGTACATATACGGGGTAGTATTCTGCAAGGTGGCAAGTCTTGATTAGTTATTTAATTTCCTCCGAAGGTTGCATTGCCTTGTCTTCTCACTCTCCGTCGAGACTGTAAAAACTGAGAAAGGGTTTTGCTCCTATTGCATACAATAGGTGCCGGCTCCTCTGTTTATATATGCACATAGCAACGAGGTTGTTGCGTCCACAATCAGGAGCTAACAACCAGATTACAACAAACAGAATCTTATGGCTTTACAACTTGATACGCAACTGAATCATATGCGCAAGTCTACATCATTAGTATCTGCACAACATATGCACGTATCTTAACAGACCCATAGGATTTGTTAGTAGGATCTCATGCAAGAGAGAAGGGGGAAGTGTCAGAATCTTGTTATCCATCACTAATTAGCTCCTCTTGTAATTGTAATAGTAGTAGCATGGCTGCTCATACATTTCCCCTCTCCTCTTCACGGCATTAACGTGTGATTCCTCACACTTTTCATCTTTCTTTTCTGGTGAGAAATCACACCTTTCATCTGACAAGGCCCTATTGTCTACTACTACTACTACGGGATATTATTTCGAAATAAACTAGGACGGG